CCCCTAGGAGATGGCAAACAACGGAGAAAAGTAGAGGGAGAACGGCGAATGATCAGGAAAAAATTGCAACCTGACGACTCCGACATATACTTCACATGGTGAAACGAACAGATTGCTCCTATTTACCGTGCACGGTAGAATAATCTTTTTATTATCTTCATCTTCTTTTTCCTCGTTTCTTTCTATTTTTTTCTCTTCCTTCGTTTTAATACGATCAAGAACGAAAGTGGACCATTGTCCACCTTTTGTGGCATTTAATCGCTCGATCTTTGATTCAAACACGGTTTGATGGCTACTCTTGAGGAAGTCGTTAGAACGCATCTGCGACCAAATAACGTCTCGTTAAGCAAATTTCGTTTCCGCTGCGGCGCACCATGGTCACGTGAAACACGATGGTGTATCGAAATGTGCAGTGGATATGTTGAATTTTTGTCAAATAGCTGGCACGTATCAATTTTCTGTTCTTTGTAAACTGAACATCTGTTTCTTTGATTTTGATATATATACCTAGGGTGTCTAAAGTAATTAGAGGATCAGTTGGTAATTAGAAGGAAGATAAGGGCTGTGGGCTTCGTAGACTTTGAAAAACGTCGAATTTTTAAAAATTAATACGAAACGAAGATGGAAGAAAATTTTTTGAAATTTCGATATTTCAGGACCCAAAACTATCTCTTGCGACACGAAGTTCCATTTTTAACAAAAAACAAAAATGTTGTTAAATTTTTTCAAGTAGCGCACACAGAGTGTCTCATTTATAACGAACTGAATCATTTCCGTTGGTATTGAAAGTAAGAAAAAATGATTAAGAAGAGTTCACATGACAAAAGAAGTTCTCCCAAAGTAATTTTGAACGGAGGTCATTCCAAGGTCATCGAAACTTATCTCTCTACTATTTGAGGCCACTTCGAAGTCATAATGTCATAGGTCGTTGAACTCATCTTGATGTTGGCTAAAACGTCGCATTATAGAAAACATATATACATATATATGCCAAAAACGTCCATGACCGTGAAATTACCTTTAAAATGGTCTTCGAGGTAAGAGATCTTTTTCGCCATTTTCTATTTCTAATACCAGTGGAAGTAATTTAGATGTTCGCTATAAGCGAGACACTTGGTACAAATAGAAAATCTGAAAAAATGGAATTTATCACTTATTCTGTGTTTCGTCGATTTACCTTAACACATTACCGTCCGGAGACATAAAAACGGGGTTTTACACACTGTGCATTAAATGCCGGTGGCCTATAAGTATGTGTTAAAGGTGATATTTCTTATCGACTAGACTAAACATATACACGTATCATACAAACATGCTTCAAATTTGGAAAAAATATATTTGATATTTTAAAAGTTATAACCATTTTTGTAAAGCGATGCAACATAGCCGAAAACCTTGAAATGTGCCGGCTACACGCATCAGTTTTCGCCCAAACAGCCCGGACCGTATAGTGTTAAGATGGAACGATTTTTTCAGAATAAAGAATAAAGAAAATAAACCAGTAAATAGAACATGGTTACATTGTTCAGTAGGCTTTTTTTGAAAGAAGAAATCGAAATATTTCGGAACAAAAAGTACATATATGACTTAGGTCAAATTCATAATCACAGGTACATACATACGGATGTCACAGGAAGTCTACGGATATCTCACGACTCAGCCACGAATAAACCAGTAAATTCGACCTTTATCAGGCAATTCTAGGCAAGAACCAGTCTCCGGTGTTGGTGAAAAGAGGAAAGAAAGAAAGAGAAACACGGTGGCCTGGCTTCTTGGCCAGCACAGTGCCGCACTTCCTGTCCAATCACGACTTTATCTGTCCCTGACGAATGCTTGCCAGGCGCTAGCCACCTGAGATCCCGCAGATACTAGAAGAGCAGGCATCGAAAAGGGAAAAAAATAAAAGAAAAGAAAAGAACGTACCTGTTTCCACGGGCGTGTTAACAGTCGAAACTCATAAAGACGTTTAAAGTGGCCCAGGGTAGAGAGAAAGAAAGATCGTAGAGAGTTGTCCTTTTCTTGTCTTCGAAGTCGCCAGACGCCGACCATTGAAAAGACGGCGACGCTGAATAGACCGTTCATCGAAATTCGTTTGGCTACGTGTACAGGGTGATTCTTACAACCTGACCGGTTCCACGGGATCTTGGAACATGGTCGCTTGTATAAAGGCTGATTTCGTTGAACTGAGAGAGATTATGTTTGTTGGATGACTGGTCTGAAGAAAAAAAAGAGATAAATTTTTGTCAGTGTTTTGTATGGAAATTCTGTGGAAAAAATTGTATTCTATCGTTGTATTGCTACTAATTGAATGTTGCAGAGATCGATAGCAATTTGAAAGTTCTATTGAGATTAAACTTGTTGAACTTAAATTTCATATAAATTTAAATCAAATTTGTATTAAATTTGTGATTTACTTCTGACTTAAACTTAACTGAAATTTCTAACTTAAATTCAACTCAAATCTCTAACTTTCTTTTTTTAATTCTTGTGCAGGCACCTTACAATGCACAGTGATCTCAAACTTTCAGCCAGCACTGCAGGCGAGACTGGGGTAAACCCGGGACCTTGAGAATAAAATGGCGTAACTTTAAAATTAATACAGTTAGACGAAAAATTCAAGTGTAGTTTATTAAAGCACAATTTTCATTAAACAAAACCTCACATTAAATTTTTACAAAAAAAAAAACGAAAGTCCCAAAGATAACAGTTTCATATAGAGGTGCGAATTTACAGTTTTACCCCGGACAATACTGTCTCTAACATCTATAACATTGGAATTCATCCAAATCCTTAGATCCCCAACCAGTATAGCCTTCACGGGCCCATCCAGAACAAGTTATACACTGCACCCAACCTTCGTTCAATCTGGATGGACCAAGATTGCCGTGTTATGGTTCTTTTCTAAAAATGGTTCTGAAAATAAGGTTAAATTAGAATATTACGATGCATTACGAATAAAAAAACACAATCAAGTAACATCTATCTGAAATATTGTTTTAACCCCTTAACCTATGACAACGCGTCAGACTCGTGGCAGAGATTCTGGCGAAGATGTGAGAAAACTAGTTATATCGGTAAGAAAAATTCATCGCAATCCTAACTTTCGTTTGAATTTGTAAGACTGAGGATTGCTAAATGTAATTAATCTGTGACAAATTAATTTTTGTTACCTGATGCAGTACTAAAACAGCAAATGGCTGACGCTTAGATGCATAGTCGGAAAAGAAATCATAGGTTAAGGGGTTAATAATGTTAATGCGTTTGTAACATGGGCAATATTTTGAATATTACAGATTACCCATACCACCATGACGAATTGAAAGAAATCATTTTACATATTCATACTTTAATACACGACAGATAGCATAATTCATACGAAAAAGTACTTACCCAAACAATATCAGCAATTGTGAAGTTTATAATTCGGTGAAAATTAGATCAGAGCACTCACAAACACAAAAAGTATCATAACCTAGATCATATTTTCTTTATGCACTAATTCAAATGACGTCAATTGACGGCTGCATTGACGTGAGAATATTTTGAACCGTTTTAAACATAATAGTAGATCCCGATTTTACCCACGTATTTAGGTTAGGTTAGGTTTTGGCCGGATCTCCCCTACGCATACTCTTAACGCCACACTTTCCCAAAATTCTCAATTCTGTGCGTCAAACTATCCTAAAAAAAAGAAAAAAAAAATTCAAAACACGTAACTCATAATCGTTCCCATCGCTTGCAACAATATTTCCAAGCTTGAACGTTTTATTACATCCGTGGATTCAAACGATAGCTATTAAAAAGGAAGGAGAGACCCATTGCCCGTCACCAAAGCGCATTACCCGTCGAATTTCATTCGCGACATTAGCGACACTTTTACAACGTGTACCCGATCGAGCTGGCGCGGCGTCGCAATTAAAAATTGATTTACAACGACCGCCGGTTCGCGTCGTCATTAACGACCAGCTCGAGCTCGCTAGAGCGCGCGAGCACCACGGAGAGGAAAGGCGGCAGCGTGCAAATTTCGCGATAATTGGCGAACGCGTCGCTCGCGCGCCGCTAATATCACGATGGAATCACGCGGCGAACGAATCGATCAAACCACGGTTGGAATCGCCTCGAGCGCAATTTGTCATAGACAAGCATCTCCTTTGCGATCGGTAGTCAGGACGAAACCGGCCATCACGTTTCATACGACTTTATGATCTAATTAGCGGTGATCTCGATCTTCCAGTTTACAATCCACCTGTACAATGTATTAGGTTGTACTCTTATGAAACTCCCATATGAATGTCAAGGAAAAATTGCTCAGGCTTCAAAGAGATAACCAAAATGGACGGTTGTACGACATAACCTAAAGTAGACTCCATTATAGATCTGAACACTGTATCTCACTCACACTTTTCATCCTTTAAATTCATAATTGATCTTTGTATAAAAACTTTAAGTAACTAGAATCGGTGAATTTTTTCTTTTAAATACCGGCTCTCATATCAAAGTCAAGGAAAAATTGCTCTGGCTTTGAAAGGTTAACCAAAATCAACAGCTGTATAACCTAACCTATAAACTCCATTACTCATAGACCTCTGAGCACTGAAATCTCACACACTTTTGATCCTTCAAATTCAAAATTTACCTTTATATACAAATTTGAAGTGATCAAACTCAGTGAAAAGATTTCTTTTTTTTTTTTCGAGGTATTGACTCACATGTGAAAGTCGAAGAAAAATTGCTCAAGTTAGCCAAAATGGACGATTGTATGACATAACCTAGACCCATAAAATTTAACGAATCTTCTGTTAACTGAACAACGAAGCGTAATGAACGTCCAGCTTCCTCGCGTTCGTTCAGTCTCTGTAGGTGTTCGTCTTCATCAGATTAGCCTCGAAAACGACGAAAATTCCGTTCGAGCCAGATTTTATCGGCGCGATCAAAGGGATCGCGATACGACATTGACACGAGACCAGGTCCTGTGTCGTCCCTCTCTCGTGACAGCTTCACTATCTTGTTCTTTTCGGGGGACGCTCGATCCCATTATCTCTTGCTCTGGCTGACCTGCTACCCGGGCGTAAAGTGGGCAGTCCTGTCCAGGAAGCGATCTTCGATCTTCTACGCGATCGAGGCTCTTTGGTAGGTTTTCGAAGAAACCTTCGAGGTTCAATAGTTGTTTTTGTCTCGGTAATTCGAGTTTGCGTGGTTCCTTTCTTTCCACGAAATTTGCAACTTGGAAATCGAGACTGTAATGACAATTTTCAATTTTAGAATTGAAGAATTAGAAATATATATGGGGAAAATTTCTTTTTTTATTCCAAAAGAATACAATTCTTGATTAATTTTCAACACTTCGATTGTCGAAGTAATTCAAAATATAAAGAAGAAGCAGTTCTACGAGAATGTACAAATAGGTACATGTACAGGGTGTTCACTTTACGATAGAACGACCAGAAACATTTCGAAAATATTTATTTTCACAGCGAAGCCAAAGTTGCCTCGAGTTTTTTTTTTTAAATGAAACTATAAGTATGACTTTTTTTTCCATCACATTTCCAATTTGATTTCAAACATCGAATTTTGTTTTCATCACTTCAACTATTAAGAAATGATTATTACCACTGTAATTCTAGTATTGTGTGAATAAAAGTGTCACACTACGTGCTGATTGAATTCGCCTTAATGTAACACGGGTTAAAAGTAAAAATTTTTTGTTAATAACTATCATTATTACGTTCCTGCAAACGACTGAAAAATTGTGAATACCGTTAGTGTGAACACCCTGTATATTACACTAAAAAAATCCGACGAATAAAAAATAAAAGTGTCATCTGTTTATGAATTATAACACCCTTGCGAAACACGTGTGATTGAAATACATATGTCTGACACGGTAGTCCAACAATCATTCTACTTATATCGATTTTAATATCATTCCTCGTTGAAAGAAAAAGGGGAGCGGAAAAAGAATCAGGTCGCACTACGTATTTTAACGGCGACATCAAGGATAATTCTCCGACACGAATTCGTGCGTGAAACCCGACTGGAAAATAATATGAATCGCGTCTAATTGAACGTTACGTTCGCGCGTTCTCGAAAGGAAGAGGTTAACAACGAGGCGATGGTTGCGCCATCCAGACAAAATAATTCGTTACCGAATTATTTTCGAGGAGAAATTGACAGCTGGTGGTAAAGCGCAGTGGTTAGGTACCTTTTGTCAATGTGAATCTGTAATTAGAAGCGCGCCGTCTACTACGATCGTACGCCTTTTTTTTCTCTTCGCTCTGTTTTTGTTCACGTAAAATCTCCCGCAGCCATGTATTATCGACTTGAATCAACAGAGAGCCGATCTTTGCGACGGGTAGCGCAGCCTAGCTCGAAAAAAGGGCTACGTGGCCAGGATCGGGAGAAAAAGGGGCCCACGAAACCGAAGAGACGGCACGAGAGAGACTTAAATAGTAGGTCTGTCTTAATAACCCCAGTCCCGGGGCGTAAACTGAATGTCATTGCAGTAGATTCGATCACGTGAGTCGCCACTGACAGCGTAATGCGTAGTGTGGTGTCAGTGGCGTAGAGTAGCAACTCGAATTCGTGAAAGAAAGAAACCGAAATGCTAAGCTGCGCCACTGAACGTGGCCTAGTCACTGATTAGAAAAAATAATCACTGGGAAATCGAGGCTATTGTGGAATTTATGAATTCATTTCGAAGAGAAAAGATGTTTCATACTTTTGTCTCCCCTTTTGTTTTTTAATTGGAAAAAATTCGCAATGACTACTAAATGGTTGTTTAACAAATTAAAGAAGCGTGCGTTTGTAACAATTTGTAGCACTGAATGCTAGGAAGTGCGTTCGAGGCTCGAAGACTTTTATCTTAACTACATTGATGTTATCAATGAAAATTTGTACTTGTTAAAATAAACGATTCAGATAATGCAATTGTTTGCAAATGCTTCTACGTAGATTCGCTAATCCTTATAACATGCATTATCTCGAAAAATATTATTACAACTTGAATTAAGTTTGAATAAGTTTTCAAATTGAACCCACGATGCCATCTACCTCGATTATAGCGTACCAACTTGATGCAATGCTATTGGCTGTTTAGGACGCAAAAAAGCTAAATGTACACATGAATACTAGATCGCAAAAGTAACACAGAAGGGGAAGGTATTCTCGATATATTATATTCATTGTGACATAATATAACCGTAAATATTACTAGTATATACAGGAAAATATGTTGCCACGTTTATCTATACAACTCAGACGAAAGTTGTTAAATATAACTGAAAGTGTACAGGTAAAGGGGATTTTTATTTTTTGTTGAGGTTATGTTACCTCGTTTTTCAACCGAAATATTTTAACATTTGAAATATGATACGATTCAGAAAATAAGAGAATGCAAATTTAGTGGCCTTGCTCGTAACTCAATAAACATACCTGTGGAAAGGAGTTTTGTATTTAATGTTCATAAACATGCAAAAGTATATGGAGTTTGTATTGTTCGGAATCAAAGCACAGTTGATACAACAGTAACTGAGGCTGTATCAAAATTGCAACCAGGTAAAAAGAAAAATATTATAAAACATTTCATTTGACGTATACACTTACCACACAGTTTTTTGCAATAATTAATGTTAATAACATATCTTTTTTAGATCCACTTGTACAACAGACACAAAGTGTAGCAGATACAACTGCAAATGATGCAGTGTATAATACAGTAAATAATGCAATACCAGAGAGAAGATTTATAAGTGAAATACCAGGTAATATAATACAATTCATATAATACAGTTCAGTGTTTTTATTTTTATTTCTGTGTTGTTCAGTAGTATTTAAAATGTAATAGATATGTATTAATTTTATATTTCTTATAGATCCACCAGCACCATTTGTAGAACAAATAGCAGAAGCTGTTAAATTTCATGCGAATGGTGAAAGTACCTTTCAAAGTATAGGATTAGGTGGCTGGAGTCCTGTTGGACTTATACAGCATTATTTTGAATGGATTCATATTACTTGTGACATGCCATGGTGGGCAGCAATTACACTAACGACTGCATTTTTAAAAATTGTAGCAATACCACTTCTAGTAGATACAATGAAAAATAATATAAAAACACAGAATGTTTTACCAGAACTATTACGAATACAGGAAAATTTGACTGAAGCAAGAAATTGTGGAAATAAAGAAGAAGGTACGAACTAAATATAAAATGTTAATCAAGAAAAATAAGCTTTACTTCTGCTTTTTAGCTACTGAACATGCCTATCACTTACAGATGTTTTATAAAAAAAATAATATCAAGATATTTCCATTGTCAAATATTGTGAGGGTATGTACATTGGTTTATTAAATAAAAGAAAATATTGAATAATTTGAATAACTATTGAAATTTCTTTTTATGTATTCAATAGTTTGGTATGCATATACCAGTATTTTTTGCTTTAAGAGGAATGGCTAATGCACCTGTAGAAAGCTTAAAGTATGGTGGAGTCTGGTGGTTTACAGATTTAACTATTGCTGATCCATATTACATACTGCCAGCATTTACCAGTGCAACACTGTTCATAGTTGCTAATTATTCACTGAAGTCTGTCAGTGCAAGTAATATGTCCCCCCTGGTGCGATATGCCGTTCAAGGAATGCCACTTGTTGCATTTCTATTTGTAATGAATTTTCCAGGAGTAAGAAACGTTTATTTTTTTTCAACAACCTTGTACCGTTATTATTGAAATTTATACTTATGAAAGTACATTGTTTTAGGCACTTTTGTTGTATTGGGTTACTTCAAATCTAATAACTGTAGTACAAACTGAAATGTTTAAATTGGAGCCAGTAAAAGCATATCTTAATCTGCCAGTTTGCATAAAACATAAGACACCCATTAAACCTAAGTCCAACAAATCTTTCCGCCAAGCATTTTCTGAATGTAATTAAAAAATATATACATTTGACTCATAATTTGATTCCAAATATATTATGTTAATGATTTTTTTCAGCTTGGAGTAACTTGAAAGTGACTAATAAACTAGCAGCTCATGCCAAGGCTGATTTGTATCAATTTAATAGTGCAGGGAAAGCTGCAGTGAAGAAAACCTATAAATATAATCCAGTGAGAGGTGTATCAAGAGAGACATCTGCTGCATCAGTGTTAGCAAAGAAAAAATAATGCATTATGAATAAGATACTGTAGATAAAATTTATTTAATTAGTTACAAATAATTAATTATAATAATTTGAAATTTGATAATAAATGAGAAAATAATTACAAAAGGATTTTTAATAAATCTTACTGCTTATTTACATATAAGTAAATGATATATTATATGGTTATATACATCCTAGAATTACAGCACTACTGTCATTTAATTCCAATACACTGATTAATCACTCGAAGCAGATGACTGTTTTCAAGAGCTGCTGCTACTCTTTCCTTATCAGCCAATTGTTTGTTTACAGCTGCCTCTGACATGTGAGTACCTGGTGTAATTTCTACATTAACTTTAAACCTTGAGGGTAATACTCTCAATAGTTGTACTCTAATTGATAAACCAATTAATGTTGCCATGCTACAGTGTGGTATTGTTGGAGTAAACTTCACATGAATTCTGTTTGTTTTATTATCAATCTACAATAAAATTTTCTGTTATCTTACTATATTAAAATTAATGTAGTAACATTACCTCAATCAGACTTTGTTCTACTACATTTAATTCTTCCAATGTTAAAGGATGTTCCGGATCATTAATATTCCTAATTAAATCTGTAAATTATATTTTATAAATAAAACTTATATACGACTTGCGAAATCTAAGATTATTCCGCTACTAATAATACATACCAAAAATTTCACGTGCATCAAATTCATCTACAATATCCTCGTCTTCATCATGTGCAGTAATTTGTCTTTCGTCTATCTTTTTGTATAATTTTGGATTGATATTTTCCAAAGCGTCACTCATCTTCCTGTCAACAAAAATTGATATTGTGCATCATTATGCAACTCGCGTGTGATCATTTACTTGTTTGTTTACACCAATACTTAGATTGGAATAAAAAAATGACCTAACTTGATATTTCCGGAGCACTATTAATTCGAGAAACAATGAATAAAGGGATTTTATGAATCAAGTAAAATTTGACACTGTGACTGTGACTGGTTTTCTTTTACACGTAATACTATCGCTAGTACAAGTAAAAAAAACACTATTGTATCTTAATACGTACTGTCCTATGCTAAGAAGATAACGAACGGAAGGAATGCGGGTCTCATTGGTTGTAGCGGAACACTCATAAAGTCAGATCACATGCATTTTTACTATTGGCCGAAACGGTCTCATACTATTCCATCGCGTAACGGCGAGCGGGCAGAACTATGTGTAGTGATTACCCTTCATATGAAAAATCAGGGTTTACGCATGCGTTGTAATGGCTGCTTACAGTGTCAGCACATGTTTACTTTTATTCCAGTAAATGACTTATTATATTATTTCGACTCAAGCGATCCATAGTTTTTTAAAATTTTATATATAAAACTGATAATATTACATCGAATTAACAAAATTTTACTTAATTTATTTATCAGCAGCACATAAAAATCAGGTGAGGTTATGTACACATTTTACATATCAATATTTTTACATTTTAAATTCCCCAAATTTTAACATACAGACGATTCCAATTGTAGCTTCAAAATGGCTACATCGCTTGCGGAGCAGCTTAAAAAGTTAAGAACACCACAAACAGGAATACTATTGCAGGAAAAAAAACGTGCCAGTTTGTTATTTGATCCCAGAGAAGCTGCCAATTTAGACAGAGAAACAGTTTTAAGTATAGGTAATAATGAACTTACTATTATATTTTTAAAATATATATAGTTTTTCCCAAACCACTAACTAATAATATCAATCATTCTCCCAGGTCAAAATGGATTACAAGAATTGACCAAACTGTCTGACCTATTTTTAGAATTTGAGCAGACACTCTTTGCACCGAGTTCACTGAGCCTTGAGCGTGCTGTACAGGATGTCAAAGTCAACAAAAAGTTAGATGGAGAGATCGAAAAATTCCTAATCCTTTTATCCCCTTATTTTTTACTCAATTCTTCCCACAAAGCGCTTGAATGGCTTATACACAGATATCGCATTCACGAATTCAATAGAGATCAATTTTTACTTTTAATATTACCCTATCACGAGACTCGGATGTTTGTCCGAGCGTTACAATTGTTAGACCTATCAGATGAAGCAGATAAGTGGCATTGGTTAGAACCTCTCCAAAAACCTGGTGTTCCACTAGCTTCAATAACATTAATAAATCGTCTCACTGTCGATAATGCTCTTTTAAAGTTAATTTGCAACCATGTTGTTATCGCTACTAAAATCTATTCAGATCGAGCGTCCTCTTTAAGCACTTTGTACGCGTTTTATACTACTTCCGTATTAGGGATTATCGATCGATTGTCTAATATCTCTGAAGTTCAAATGGGTTACATGTTTCCGACCATTTTAAAAGGCTTAGAATGCCCTATTTCCGATTTTACAGCCAGTAATTACATGATCCTGGCGAAACTAATGACCAAGGTGAATCTGAAGAGCGAAACCACGGAGAAGGTGCTTTTGAAGATATTTAAGAAAACGCATTTGAGAGAGGAAGCCCTAATTCTGCTGTTTTTCTTATATAATGCACCTGTTAATCGACTCACCACGGTCTCAAAAAGTCTCGCCATTCGATTATCTCAAGTGCCTTGGTTCATCGAACTCGCAATTAAACTTCAGTCGTCGAACATGAACATATTAAAATTCATGGTTCCATTACTGCAAACCAGTTGTCGCGTGATTTTGGAGGATCCATCTGAAACGATTCGCTTGCAAGAAATGGTAAGCGAAATATTGACACGAATACAACTTGATAATGTAGGAGTAGACACTATTTTATGGAACATATTGGAGAAGGAATTCCTTTCAAATAATGTGTCCAATGAAGCAAAAGATTTTCTTAGGAAATTGTATCATTGCTTAGAGAGAACCTATCCAGAGAGATTCGACGATTATCTGAAGCATTTGATGAAACGTAGCGATGCAGACAAAGATTCAAAACTGGCGTTGGAATTCCTCACATCTTGGCATTTTGGAGCCAGAGACACGCAGGAAGTGATCGGTATTCTCGATCGATTGATTCATATCAGTCCAGAGCAAAGAATAATGGCGTTGAAAACATTAGCACAAAACTACGTGAATATTCCTGAAAGTTTTCAAGAGATGATGACGAACACGATACAAGCTAGATTCAGCGACAGCGAAGTAGACGTGATTAAAGCTTTGCTCTCATTCTCCACTAAACGTTTAACATCTCTACTTCCAGCTAATATACTAATCGACGAATTGAAGATACTGTTGTCAACTTGTCATAATAGAAGCAGAAAGATATTGGCGAAATCAGCGTTAAAAATTCTATTGGAACTCTGCGAGGTTGGCGATGACACCAGTGTTTTCATCATATCTTTAACATACCTATTTCCAAGCGAAAACGAGGACGTGGACATTGCAATGGAAGTGTTAAAGTCGAATTTCGCCAGGAATAACGCTTTCATGCAACATGTGTTGAAGGATCTAGGAAAATCACCTAATGCAGAGGCAGTTTCATCAGCAGCCTTCCATAATGTGTTAAACTGGCAACTATTGCCTCCAACAGATAGCATATTGAGTGCTATGAGACAACAAATTGCTCATGGTGATGCAGCCTCCATGTTTTTTAATCTAATTTTATTGGGATCTGTATGTAGAGTCCCTGTGGGATCTCTGCAACCAGAAGTTGCCATAGAAGTGATCCAAATGGCTACAGAAATAATCAAAAAGTATCCACAAGTGAAATTATTGCAGAACTGCAACAATATCACAGGAGACAATATGCAGACTGCTATTGAATTGACGTCCCAGGGAGTTCTGCCATTGCAAGTGGCCACTTATGTTCTTGAGATGGTTCACAGACGCCTGGACTTGAAGTCAAATCCAAAGATCGATTTTGAAAATAACCAACACCGCAGTAACCTGATCTTACTCCTCCTTGAGATGTTCTTTGAGGGAATTGCAAATGTATATTGGTGCAAACATTATTCCAGATGTCTGCAGATATTCTTCCAGAGACACTTTGCCACAGTGAAGGATCTTATTCGATTTTTATCTCAATTATACATAAAACCAGTAAAAGTACAAACATCCTTCCACTGTCTAAAAATAACTCAGATACTGTTGAATCAGTGCAAGTCTATTCAGTGGGTGTTTCAAGATCAAGTCTTTGTAACAAATTTATTGCTTTCATTGGCCAGAGTTAACAACGGGTGCCGACAGGCGGCATTAAGCATTCTCACAAAACTTATGAATGTCACTAAATCAATAATGGATCCTTTCTCAACCTTATTAGAAGAACTAGCCATCAGAAGTCCAGACATATCCATGAATCCTGACCAACTATCTTTGACCCTTTATGTTCTACTATCACCTGATCCAGATGTATGTGGACAATTGAAGTCGGATCTTCGAAAAAAGCTTCAACAAGCACAGCAAATATTATTTGACATCATCATGGACACAGAGACTCCATTGCACATCAAGTCACAGCTACTGGATATTCTAATTTATGTAAATGGACCTTCAATACTTGAACAATTAGCCCCTCTTGGACTTCAACTTTTGCAAACTTTGTCTATAGATCCCAAGAAATGGTCCAACAAGTATGGCAATTGTTTGAAAGTAGCATAGACGAGCATAAGAGTGAAATAATAGCAGAAGATGGGATCTACCATTCACCAAGCATCATTTTATTAAAGCAGATAGACAATACTTTTTACAAAAGTGCTGAACAAGTGTCAACTGATCTTCAGAAGAAAATTCTAGCTAAATTAGTAGACGTGGTGACCGATTGTGAAATGGGGAACATTATATCTACAGCGAACAGAGCTATGAGAAAAATTAAAGTGAATGCAGAGTTGATAGTCAACGAGTTAAGCATCATGAAGAACCTGAAGAACGCAAAACCGGACAATTCGGCAGTACGAATCAAAAGACGACTCAGTCACATTAGTACTTTACCTGATCCAACGATAATCAATAAAAGGGAATGGAAACGAGGAGTGACTCTCTTAGAATTCGTTCAACGAGCGGAAAACATTAAGAAAGAACAATTATTATTTCCAGTTCTGTTCAATTTACTGAAGACATGTCTTAGTTTCGAGGAACAGAGTCCTATTGAATATACCAATCAATTATTGTTATCAACGATTCATCGGTTGATTGTGAAGAAACTGCCCATTCGTGATGCTGATCACCACGTAGATCTGATCGCTCAATGCATCAGAACCTCGAGGAATCCTCAGACTCATCATCATGCTTTATTGGTATTAGTAGAATTATTAAAGGTCGTGGACGTTCGTCGTGCCCTTTACACCATCATGCCTATCTTCACGTTTATGGGAAGCTCTGTGGTACGCCAGGATGACGCTTATTCCATTCAAATCATCTCGAAGACCATCGAGACAGTGGTACCTATAATAAACGCAGCTGAGAATGAAACTCACGCGTGTGAAATCTTAAGGACCTTCATAGTCTCTTTACCAGATATTCCTGAGCATAGAAGAACACCTTTATTCGTGAAGCTGTTGCAACTTCTGGACAATTATTTGCATTTGTATTATTTATTAAGCTTCGAGAGTTACGTCATGTCAAAAATTATGCATATCACGAACCAAAAAACTCCTGGACAGAGGCTGGAGTTTGCTCTACAGGTGTCTCTAGAGTTTCCACCAATGAGGCTGATTCAAGTTTCTGTTAGATTGGTTCAATTCATGAAGGAGTTACCTATTGATATAGAGGATGAAAAAGACAAACAGGATGCCAGGTCTTTTAAATATAAACATATATTTGATGTTGTTAATAACGGTCCTAAGAATTTAAGACTGTACAAGTTCACGTTGGTGCAGTTTTTAAGTAACTTATTGTCGTCGCCTGATTTTATTAACAAAGTGGCTGAGCTCGATCCTGAGGAAGTGCACAATGCAAGACCTCACTATGATCAGTTGATCGTTGAATTGATCGTGTTGATACAGAGAACTTCGAAAAACGCTGATCGTCATCATGGAAGACCGATTGGGAAGTATTGGAAGGTTCTTCTGCATAATTTGTACGATGTTTTAGATTTGGTGAATAATTTGTTGCCAAATGGAATATTTTTGGTCACTATCAAACGTCTGTTAGAACATGATATATTGACGGTGAAGAGGAAAGCCTTAGAGCTTCTGAATACTCGTCTTCAGCAGAAGAAGTTTAGTGAAGAGGACCACGAAGATTTATTAGACTTGATCGAGCCTTTGCTGATGGTCATACCAACTAGAGTGAAATCTGAAGTTCAAGAACAGGAGATTGTTCAGCAAACTGTTCTCATTACCTTGAAATTGCTGGCAAAATTGTTGGCCACTGAACACTCTTCAGTATTTAAACCTGTAAGTCGATTAAATCGATGATTGAAGACTAGGTGAAGACCAAACTGTACATTTTACAGAAGAAACAGGAAACTAAACGATATTATACAGGGTGTTCAATTTACAATGAACATCTAAATTATTTCTGTTGCTATTGAAAATAAGAAAAAAATAAGTAAGAGTTTATGAGGTTTGAGAATATGCATCTGGTGATAAAAAAAAAAATCATTCCAAGATCAACGATATTTTTTTAGTACCAATTAATTTTAGTCAAAAATCGAGAAATGACTCAACATTGATATTTTATTGTTTAAAAACACTTTAAGATCATAATATCATAGGTCGTTGAACTTTTGATAAAAAAACAAATATTAATATGCAAAAAGTACCAATGACCTTGAATTAACCTTCAAGGTGACCTTGGAAGATTTTTCTGATTTTCATATCATTTAATAGAAGAGGAAGTAGAGACTCATAAACAAGAACAACATTTGGTCTTCATCTGATTGTCCTCAATTATTATGATTAAAAATTGTGACAACACTTTGAGTATTGATCATGCATTATTTAAAAATTGGAAATGTTTTATTATTATTACAGATCCTCGAGATGACCACGGAACTTTTAAGAACGAGAGAAGGACCAGTGTTAGGGAGTGCTGCACTGTGTGTTGCTGAATTATGCAGTTCAATGCGTATACACGCGATACACTCGTTAAACAAATTTGTACCAGCGATTCTACAGTTGTTGAAGAGCCACTGCCACCAAGGTGTACCTGACGTGATAGTCATCAGCATAGTGAGTGCATTGCAGAAGATTGTGGAATCTATGGGAAATTTCTTGTCTTTGTATCTGGATCAACTGCTGTGTGAATTGGCAAGATTGAGATCTTTGTACACCGACACGGAAAATGCAAAGGTATGGTTCGATAATTGAATAAATATTTCTAAGTATAGTTCAGTCATCAAAATTGCAATAATTTGCAAAGATGAAAATAAAAGAGATTAACTGTAGGGGATCACTCTTTGGCTTTGATTTAAAAATTCAGGATGGCCTACAAGTCTTTTTACCATTTAAAAACTGTTTCAAAATGTTTGTTCCAGATTTTATAAATTTATCACCCTGTACTTCATCCTTTATTACTTACTTTATATTTTTCTACTATTTCTCTACTAATTAATTTTTAAATTTTTGTGACTATAGAATAGAGTATTTATAATGTTTCTATTTTTCCACAAAATGTAACAATTCTTACAGGCTTCTAAGTTTTATTAAACTCAGAAACTTAATTATGAAGATTTACATTTTATCATTTCTACAGATTGCCGTGGTGATATCACGACTAAACGCAACAACGCAGAAACTCTCCAGCTGCATTCCTCTGCGAGTACTGTTACCAGCTGTGAACAGAACGTACATGACATTGCTCACAAAGAAGAAGTATCGATGCATTCCAGCGTTAATGACAGTACTAGCAGAATCCTTCAACAGTGTTCAACCAACTGAGTTACATGCAACCATACCAGATTTGGGTACATTCTTCCTGAAAGTATTGCAATTCCGTGAGGACATTTCTGATACTGATAACGACATGAATGTAGTTGAGTCTGAATTGACGATGAAGGATATAGTGATCGTGGAGGAGAGCGCTAGTAAAGCATTAGTAGCGTTGGTATTGAAATTAAGCGAAGCCACCTTTAGACCTCTTTATTATAAACTTTACGATTGGGCTGCTAGGAATCCTCAGCACAAGCAACGAAGCATCACTTTCTACAGGTTCGTCAAATCAATTCTGTATTTTCATTGTACAAATTTATAGAGATCTTCAACATATTGTTTCACAGACTTTCAGCTAACATAGCAGAGTGTCTGAAATCTCTCTTCGTGCTCTTTGCTGGTCATATCCTCAAGCATGCAGCTGTATTATTGAGCAGCAACAATCCACTAATTACAGAGGAACCACAGGAAATGACTCTTCCAGAGGAATCAAGCAAGATAGAACTAGTTGAAGCTGTTCTGTTAACTCTCTATAGAGTCTTCAGTTATGATGCCCATAATTTTGTGGATCAAGAGAGATTCGACACGCTAGTTCAGCCAATTGTGGATCAACTGGAGAACACTATGGGAACTAAAGAGGAGTTTGAGAAGAGGGCGAACGAATTGGTGGTCCCTTGCATTGCAGCCTTCGCCAGTGCTATCCCTGATGATTCATTGCACAAACATCTGGTGTATCAGACGTTGCTGAAAACCAGGCACACGAAACCGTACGTGAGGAGCGCTGCTTTGCACGCCGTGGTAAGTGAAAGTTTCTTTTTTCTCGAATTATTTATTTTGATCGTTTAAATTTAGAGCATATATCGCCCTTCGTTATGTTAGAACCACAAACGTGCAAGTTTTCACTCTTTTAATAAAGCTATCTGCAAGAATATTTCAAAATATTTGATCTCCAGAATTTCCACTTTCTTAATTTTACTGCATTATCTTTGAGTTACAAGGTTTGTTTTTTTTTTTTTTTTTTTATCAATACAGGTTGAAATTGTGAGGAAGCTTGGCGAAGATTTCATGCCACTTCTCCCAGAAACTATACCCTTCTTGGCAGAATTACTGGAAGACGAGGACGAAGCAACAGAGAAGTACGCACAGAATGCAGTACGCACTCTGGAGGAGATCTTAGGTGAACCGTTGCAAAAGTATTTCTAAATCATTTCTAATTTCCATAAGAAACTACACGGAAGCAGTATGTACATAAGTCTATAAATAAAACTAATTATTTTTACTTAAAAGAAAAATCGTCACATTCCTAGAATTGAGAAAAAAGAAGAATCTTACAAAGGCGGGGTGTATTAAGAAAACATCCGTTTATTCTTAACTTAGTCACAATTTGGACGAAATATAGAATATATTATTTCCTTACAATATAATACATTATCGTAATGTGTGTATCTGTGTGTGCGTGTGTGTATTAGTAATTCGTGTATGTGTAACGTAGAACATCGTGGCAGCACTAAATATAGGCGCCTGGTTTCCTAAATATTGACAGCGATTTTTAATACGAGCGGCGTAGAGCGCATTTATAGTCTTTTCTTCGAGAGCGTCTCCGAATTATCGCGGAGAACGTGACCATCGAAGTTGAAATATGCTTTGGACACGAATCTTCTTTCTTTCTTTTTTTTTTTTTTTTTTTTTCGAGGATCCTTCGACCGTCTCCTACGACGATCTTCCTCGTTTTAGAGATCCATTTTCTTGGAGATCATTCTCGTAGAAAAAATGCAACGTAGGCCTTCTCGCTGACGCTTTTTAGCTGGCACCGTGAATTTATAATCGTCGATCATCACTTGAGTCACACCTGCGGCACTTCCGCCGCGTTCCGCAGCGCCATTTCCTCGCCCTGCTCCATTGATGGAACTTTCCTAAGGACAGAATTTATACTGTTATACTATGACATACTATTTACAGATCTCTTTTATATCGTAGAAATATTCCTTTTTAATATCGTTCTCATTCAAATCCTGATATTAATATCTGAAGGTTGCAAAGTCTTGTTATCGTCGCATTTTCCACTTGGCAAATTCCCCAATTTTCCTCATATTTCTGAAATATTCATTTCGATAACCTTCAGCAATTTTTTCATATCGTAAAAATATTCTTTTTTAATATTTCTTTCATTCAAGTCTCGATACTAATATCCGAAGGTTGCAAAGTCTTACTTTCCTAATTTTTCTCACATTTGAGAAATACTCCCTTCCGGTAATTCTTACGTAAAATTAAGGCGTATCTTCAAATTGCCAAATCGTTTAGCTAAAATAAATACTCAAACTCTATCGAAACCCTAATTTCCCTCTTGGAATAAATTTTCCAACGGTTATGATCGAATTCTTAACACGAAACCAACGAAGACTCTGGCTACATCGAAATTACTGAAATCGCTGGTGAATAATCGAATCAGTTAAGAACCGATCGAAAACGAGGGGGAAAGGAACTTTGGAGCTGGAGGCGAGAACGATGAGTTTCACAACCGTTTCCACGAACTTTACTCACCTCTTTCTATACTGAAAGATAATGTACACGATGATGGCGTTGCCGACGAATAGCAGGGCGATTAGGACGGCCGGCAAGACGATGTCTGTAAGGTCGAGAAGAGCAAAAATATTAGCGAGTGTGCATCGTGTTGTGTGCCACGTGTATGGATTTTCGTGTGTTCGCCACTTCTCTGTGATTCGCTGTTCCGCGGTTCACGCCTCCGTGGAGGCGCGTGGCATAGTGAACTTTGCACGCGGCCTGAGTAATCGGTCGAAGTTTGCCATTCGCGCGCGAACGGCTACGTTTCCGCGCTCTGATTGCCCCCTAATCGACCGCACACTGAACGCAATTAACAGGGAAACTGCGTATTTCGTAGCTGCAGAGTCATTGTTACTTTTCTCGAGCTATAGGAAGGATCGATGATCGAACTGCTGTTTCGAGTAATCGATGCAAATTGAAATGATAAACGAACATATTTTTCGTGCATTGTTTCTACGAATTGTAGACTGTGTATAGGTTAGATTGAGAGAATTGAATTGGAAGTTTTTTTTTTTTTTTTTTAGAAAGATAGTTGTTGTTGCGAAGAATTAGAATTCTCAATTTAATTCTTATTTTAATGATAATTTTCGTGTTGGTGAAATTTTGGAATTTTTTGCGGGAAATTTAAATTTTTCGAATTCAGATTTTA